TTACCTCTTGGGTCCCTGACATCTGAAACTTTCTATGGCTACCCCAGTTCCTCTTCTACTGCTACACACCTGACCCTCTGTACTTCTTCCCAGTCACCTCCCCCAATGAGGGAACTTATGGGAAGGACTGAAGGAGCTGAAAGGGTTAGCAACCCCACAGGAAGAAAAGCAATATCAACCGACCAGACCCCCCAAATCTCCCAGGGACTCAACCACCAACCAAAGAATACACATGGAGGAACTCATGGCTCTAGCTATATATGTAGAGGATTACCTTATCTGGCTTCAATGGGAGACGATCCCTTTGGTCCTGTGAAGGCTCAGTGACCCAGTGTAGGGGAGTGCTAGAGTGCTGAGGCAGGAGGAGGTAGGTGGGTGGGAGAGCATCCTCACAGAAGCAGGGGTATGGGGTAGGAGATGGGGGTTTAACTGAGAAGGGGATAACATTTGAAATGTAAATAAATAAATTAACCAATAAAAGAAAAGAAAAAGGAACCAATTTTGTTTCACTGATTCATTTTTTATTTTTTAAATGTCCTTTATTTTAGCCCCAATATTTCCTAATTTTCTCCATCTAACACTTCCTGTGTGTCTCTATATCCATCCTCCTCTTACTCACTATGTTTTTTTTTCTTAATAATGCTATTTTTTTATGTCAACTGATTGTTTGCTCTACCTCTTGATGTATAGTTGACTTCATTTAACCCTGTTTACAATATTCAAGCAGAAAGCTCTTGCATTAAAGGTGTGTGTTAAGGCATAGCCACACTACAGATAAATACAGATTTTTCCAGTAAATAGCACAATCTAGGGGTTCAGAGTATGATCAAATATCCTGCAACATGTCCAGTTTTATCATCCTGTTGTGATCAGAATACAAATGAGAGGTTTCTGTTTTCCTGTTTATTGACATTTGCTAGTATGAGATCTACTTTAAAGATGGTCCCATGTGGTAATGAAGAGAATGTGCATTCTTTGATATTTTGGTGAAGTGGTCTGTAGATGTCTTTGTCCATTTAATCTATGATGTTATTTAATTTCAGTGTTTCTTCATTCATCTTTTGTACAATTGATCTATCAAACGCTGAGAGTGAAATATGGAAGGCATGTGCTATTAATTTGTTTGGGTTAATCTATGATTTTTAATCTTGTGGTGTTTGCTTTAAGAAGCTGGATGGGCCTCGATTTAGTACATATATATTCAGAAGTATAATTTTTCTGATGGGTCAGACCCTTTCAATGAATATGAAGCAACGCTTTTTATCTCTCCCAATAAGAATTAGTTTGAAATTTATTTTGTCAGATGTTAACAGAACAACAATTGATTGTTTCCTGGTTCCCTTAGCTTTGAGTACTCTTTCTTCTTTTCACCATAAGGTGCATTTCTTGGAGTAAAAAGAAAGAAGGGTTCTGTCATCTAATACAAACTGTTTTACCTTTTGATGGGTAAATCGTGATCAAAAGTACTCAGAGTTATTTTTGAAAACTAAAGATTTTCTCCTGTAATTTTGTTGATTTTGACATGTACTGGAGAAGAACAGCTGGGTGGAAATTTAAACAAATGGGAGTCTAGTGGCCTAAATGTTTAATTCCTCTCTTTGACTGATCCACTGCTGGTCACTATGCTTCTATTCATTTGATCGAGTCAAATTATTCTAATGTGAGTTTCCACGTCCACTTGTGATTGGAGTTATCCTGACTTTGTTCTGTGGGCTGTAGATAAACACCCCACAAACTGTCCACTTTGTCCAAGTTGCTGTGTTCTTACAGTGTTGGTAGCTGTGTGATACCCAAAGTTCTATTCAAGAGTTTATGTTAAGCTGCAAAAACACAGCTTCATCATTCCCATTATGTCACTGATAATGTCTATGTCAACAGTTACTGGGAATTCCTTCGATGAAATCCTTTACAGTCACCTTTGTAGATATTCTGCTACAAAAGGAATCAATTATTCCCATTTGCCTGGGGAGACATGTCACTATGATGGTGGAAGCTGTTTTCTTGCAATCTTCTCAATGTACAGAACATTGTTAGATCCAATGGTAGAGGGATTCATTCTATTAAACGTGAGAACTGTAAGGAGAAATGACCAAACTCATGATTGTCCAATTAAAGCAAACTCTACATTGTGGTGCACCTGGGACTGTCTCACCCTAAAATGGAATGTGAGAGGCCAGCGCCTGCTGGAGAGCTAAGGTGTGTGTGAAGAGAGAGCTGGCTCACGGGTGAGAGAGCTGGCTGGTTTACTATGTTAGGAAGATAAAGGGAAGGGATAAGGGTAAAGACAGTTTGAGCGTTAAATAAGTCAACCCCAGGACTTGGAAAAGTAGCAGATGGAGCCATGAAATATTCCTATCCCATTTAGTTCCCAAAGTCTAATCAGCCACTGAATTTGCTTAGCTTCTATTCTACTATCTGGCCTGGAAATCCCAAATAGAATTTTCTTTTACAAACAAACAAACAGCACCCCCAAATTTACAAAAACCAAGCATGCAACCTTAGAAAAAGTAATTCTATTTCTGGATCAAAGAATATTTTGAAATTTTAGAGTATTATAAAAACTAAAAATTCACTCATTATGAAATGGGTCCTGTCTGAATTTAACAAAAGCAGTCTTTTCTCTGTCTTTGTGTCTCTATTCGCTTCCTCTATCCACCCTCTTTATCTTCTTCCTCTCCTGGTTTTCTTCTTTCTCTCCCTCTCCTTTCTTGAACACACTCACACAAACAGGCACACACACACACACACACACACACACACACACACACACGCACATGCACATACCATAGGTAAAATAGAACCAGGAAAACAGAAACATCAGCATCTGGAAGTGGAAACACTGACCTTCATGGATTCCTGCTCTGTATCTGAATCCTCTATCTGTTCCTCACTGACTGTGTCACATGGTGCATTTATTCTCTGAACCCATCTCATCTGGAACTTGGTAAAGTAGTTCTAGATGTAAGGCGTTCTAGTGTGGATAATGTATGTCACTTGCTTATCACCATATAGTATGCACACAGTAAGGACTATTTTTTTTGTTCTACAATTAGCATTTCTTTTTTTTTTACTTTCTTTTTAAATTTTTTCTCAAATCATAATTCACACAGGGTTATAAACACAGAAAGGCAGGATGTGGGGAAGGGAATGACATTGGAGTGTGGGTGTTCAGGGGGAATACAGATATCTTCAGAACCAGGTATCGGCTGGGTGAAGGTTCAGGGGACATGTCACTATGACTCTGCCTATGACTCGCTTGTCCTTATCTAAGTTGGTATTGTCTGCCAAGGCTACCTATTTACAAGGTCTATGACTACTCAGGCTTATAAATTTCCACAAAAGCTGCCTGTTGACATTAGCTTATAGCCATCAGTTTCAATGTTTTTCCACTGAGACACAAGACTTGGTGTTAGTATACATGTATGACAGGCCTATTGCTGATTTTAGGCCTATGGCTGATTTTAGGCCTACAGTGGGTAAGCAGGGCTGCCCCTGACATCTCCTCCCTTCTCTAAGTATAGAAGGGCTGTGGCAATTCTAAACTTGCGAAGGCGGGGATAAAGGCCTGATCTCCAGTATTTGAAGGGGACCTTGTAATGGCTCCCGTCCCCCTGTCGTTGTCCAGTGAGGCATGAGGGCCATACCTGTCCCAATGTCTTTTTCCTGGAGAGGGGATACTTTTGACATCAACCCTTATGCAATCAGGCTTGTCCCTCAGGGAACCCAGAGAGATATTTTTATCTTTTATTGATATTCCCTTGCAGTGCTTAGCCTTGCAGCCTAAGCAAGAATTCAGATCACCTGACAGAGGGGGTTCTGGGTGGCCCCTCTCTGCTTGGTCTAGGGGCAGAAGTCCCCCCTTTTAGGTTGGGTGGATGGGTTTTGGAAACACCCTGTATAAAGTAACAACCTCATCTTGAGTCTCGTGGTTCTCCATAGCTAACTAATGATAATGTATCTGAGTAGGTTTTGCTACCAAATTATTTATCTGTTGTATCACAGAGTTAGTCTGCCTATTTGAGAGCCAGGGACCAGCAGAAAAAAGCAAAAAGAACCCAAATAATGGTCCCAAGATGGAAGGAAATAGGGTTGAAAACCTTGGAGAGGCTGCAAATCAATTCTTGTACCAGCATTCATTTGTCTCTTTCTCTCTCTGATTTTTCTTAGGCTTCACTACCTATTTCATGCTCTCTTTAACCCTCCTTGTATTGTCTATGTAAAGGCAACCTTCTTCTTTGAGGGTTGTACACAGTCAAGAGCTTTTCTATTGTACTAGAGTAAATCAAGTCCAATAAGGATCTTTGCGATTTTAGGAGGTCTCTTCAGACGGTGAACGAGGGATTTCTTCAGATTAGTGATGTCAATCTCTAGCTGTTTGATGTTCTTGTCAGTGGCCCTTCAAAGGTCTGAGTAGTATAAGTTCGGAGGCCAACATCTGGATTAGAACTTCTAACCTCACGGGTGATTCATTTTTACCTGGGATGCTGCCTGAGTTAAAGCTCCTGGGAGTCCCTCTTTCGGATTTTTGGTGTTGGGTACCCAGTAAGGACTATAATAAATAGGTTTTATGTATTTAGTTGACTTGAAACCATGCTGTTTGTATAAAACACAATAATGCTATAAAAGCATTAAACCCTTGTCACAGAGGAAGATGGATGAACAACTGAATTTGTCACTGCTAATTTGCTACTACTTTGATGAGATAGCTCAATTCCCACCCCCCACCCCCACCATGATGCTGCCAGACACAAAGAAAAACACTAAATTTTTTAGTACTAAAACTTCACCTTCACTTTGCTAATGATGCTGTCTATTGGTAATTTGCCATGTGTAACTTAAAGGCAGTCCTTCTTAACCATTACATTTCAATATTAAGAAACTGTATGTTAAGAAAAATTCGATGGTATGTGCCTTTGGATAAATGACCCTTTTGTTCCTTCAGTTTTATTTCTATTTGACAATAATACTCTTTTGTGTCTCTCTTTTCTCCCATAAACAAGGTCTCTTCAGGATCTGTCCAAGCAAACAGATATCCCTTATGGCACAGTCTTGGACTCTGCAGTATATCAGCATGTGCGCATGAAGGGGCTGAATCCTTTTGAGAGGGACAGCATGTATTCCCAGATGTGGAGGATGATCAACCGAAGCAATGGGTCAGAAAACAATGTTCTGGAATCCCAAGCAGGCATTCAAAAGGTACTGTGCTCATCTATAGTCTTCATCAGCTTGTCTTCAATATGGTCATGGCTAAGTTGAGATTTATTTCTTCCTTTTTTATTGTAACTCATTCAAATTTTTAGTTAAATTATGTTGTTATTCTTTTAAGAAAGGTCTCTGAGCAACTCAGCAATCTCATAAAGGAAACTTCAGGTCCCCTGTGTTGTCTCACCAATAACTTTCCCTTGGAAATCCAAAACTAAAATCTGGTGCTGTTATTTTGTTCAAAAAAGGATTAAGAACTTGTAAACATGAAAACTAAATAAGTTTTCCCAAACCCCATTCAAAATATCATTCACGTTATGCAATTCACTTAAATAACTCAGGGTGTTTTCTATGTAGCATTTGTTTTTAATACTAAACTTTATCTGACTTGTGATTATCTAAACCTATTAGGAAAAAATTTAATCTTGTCAACAAATAAGGTTTCTGTGAATGATTGTCTCTGTTTTTCAAAGTGGAAATTTTTATCTGATTATTTTTCTATGACCATCATTTAGAAATAAATGTGTTCATAGGGCTTAGAAAGATGTTTGCACATTTGTAAGAGGAAAAATTAAAAGCTATTCTTCATTCTAGACATAGTTTATTTACAAATATACATAAGCAATTCACATTCTCAGCAGTCCCTGTGATAGAACTGGGTAGTTTTTTGCTTAAAATTACGACCAGTAGCTAACTGTGGTTGGTATTCAGTAAGTAACCATGAAATGAACAAAGTAACAAACAAATGACTGAATATCAACCACAGCAGCAGTAATATTCACTTTCTCTATGAGTTTCTATATCAGAAGATTTCTGAACCCATGTCTGAGATTCCTGCTCAGAAGGCAAAAGCTCTGCTGGAGGAAGGGTTTGCTATTCTGGTTTCTCTGTTGCTGGTTTTAATACGGCTCTCAGTCTCTGGAATCAATCTAAATAATCATTGCCGTTGTCCTGTTGGCATCCTTGTCTTGAGAACCGATGCTGATCATGTAATCTCATCCATAAATATTAACAGTATTTATGATAAAGCAAACACTCTTAGCATGTTAGCAGAGGCCGCTGAGGAAGAAAGTGCATGACTTTGCTCTGTCTCAAGCAAACTCTGATGACTTTGCCCTCACTATCCAAGTCCAATTTCTAAAGGCTAAATGTTGATGGGAAATAGGACATTTTTGTCTTCCTCAAAAGGATCATCGGATCCTGGAAGATTAACATGACATCATCAAAATAAGGGGGTTAGAGTAGAGCGTGGACCAGTATGTGATTAGGCATGATTATTGGGGGAAAGGAGAAAAGGGTGTATGTTTGGGGTTCATTATGTAGGTACTCATAGAGTAGAAGGTAATTTGAGCAGTTGAATAAGTCTACTAAATGGTTTGAAAAAATAATTTTCCTTCATCTACCGTCTACCATCCAAATGGAACTTTCAGTTCGGGAGGAGTTCTTTCATGAAAGAGTATGCTCTGTGTAGAAGAGTCCTCATTAGCCCTCTAGTATTACTTCACACTGTATAAAAACAGAAATTCTGTTTTTGAATATGAGTATAAACATAAATTCTTCTGTTTTAATTTTATTTTGTTTAGGAAAGAAAACTACCTGAAAATAGTTCACTTTCTTTCATCAGATATAAAATATCAATAAAGTACTTTAAAACAAGCATGTATTCACTCACGCATTAATATATCCATTTTCAAATATTTGCTAAGTACTAGATCTGTACCAAGGCCCTAGGTAGAAAGTAAAGATTAGTTTAACATCAAAGAAAAGGTCACCTGGCTTAGTAACTGAAGTCTGGTGAGGACGACATGAGAGATATAAATCATGATTTAGATAGCAATATGTATCATGAGATTTTTAATAAGGTGTTATTGTGAAGGTTGAAGAGGCAAGCTACAGATCTTTTTTCCTGAATATCTCACTTTACTCACTGACAAAAATAATCCAGGTGGAAGAAAGAAGCATGAGCTAATAAGTCCTGCTATCTGGATTTAAATCTAGCTTGATTTTTTAAATGAATTCTAAAAATATAAGCACATTTTAGAATCTTTCTGGGCATTGAGAGTTTTGCCACGATGATAAGAATTCCTACCTCATTCAGGTTTTCTCAACATTAAATAAAGCCATTCATGTTCTCTCTTCTGTAATCCCTGCATTTCAGAGGCTGAACCAAGAGAATTGTAAGTTCTAGTCCAACCTAGGACACATAACAAGATCCTATCTCAAAAACCTAAAATTAAATAAGTAATAGTGATGAAATAATATGATATGTGTAAAGCTTCAAAAATAATATGAGCAGAACTGTAAACCTATCTTATAAGATAGTTTGGGGGAATGATAAAAGAATAGCTATGTGAAGGATTTGTAGCTACAGAACTGTATTGTTTGCTACTTCCCCCTTTAATTTAAAATTGTGGTATGATTTTTTTTAAAAAAAGAAAGAAAAACAGTAGGAAAAAATAGAAAGCAATGTCTATTTCTGAGATTCAGCTGATGAGGAAAGTTAATCAGGTGAAGAGAGTAAATCAAGCCTTCTCATGTATTCTCTGCCCTTTCTGGAAAGGTAATGAACACAAACCTGGTGAAGATGAGATGCGTTTGTAGATTTCTTTCACAAAAGCAAAGGAAGTTGAAATTGACTAATCACAGGATAGGTAGGAAGAATTACATGTATTTGGGTTCAGTTTGTAAGGATTAAAGTTTATTAAAAAGTGAAACCAAACACCAAGCAATAACCTCCTCACCTGCTGAAGCTCTCACCATAGGTGCCTGAAATCCAGACTGGAAAGATACGAACCTTGAGCGTGAATTCTTTGTCCAGAAGCTGTCTTCACATAGCTCTCATAGCTGTTTGCTGTTCTCTGTCGATGGTTTCTAATTTGTGCAGGCAGAAAAAAAAGCCCTCAGAGATAAGCTAGGTCAATGGTCCACAAAAGAGTAAAGTTCTTCTGTCGTATCTCTGACAGAAATCCATACCCGCAGGAACTGTCTCGAAGAGAAGCCTGCATCACTGTAAAAACAATCCTCACAATCCATAACCTTGAATAGATCTCATTAATGTCTCGGGCTATGCTTGTTCTTAATTGAGCTAGCAGTTTCCTCTCCTGGAAGGCATATCATGATCCCCTCAGTTATCTTTGTTCTGCTGTACTAGAGACAGCTGTGTAAATGAACAGAAAGTTGGGAGTTCAGATTCTTGCAAGACATTTACCTGTACTGAGGCATCCTAATTAAACTCGAAGTAATGTGCCTCTTTGCTCTGCCTGGGGATTTTTGCATAAGTATTAAAGATATATAATTTGGGAAATGTAATTGAGTTTTTCAGGAAGTTAACAGTCATTTTTGAGTATCTTCCATGTATCAGTCACTGTAGTTAAGAGAAATGGGAACAATGCTTTCCTGGAGTTAACAATGTAGCAAGGAGAACAGTCTGTGGCAATAATCACACAGTAAATGAGGAGATCCTTCCACAAGAGGGAGGAAGAGAGAGACGGAATCCATGCCCTCATTTTGCTTATGCACTATCCCTCACATTTGGTGTTTTTTTTTCTAATCTCTATTTGTTTAAAAGAAAAAATCTTATTTTAATTAATAAACCTCATGATTTTTTGAATAAAATTCATTCCTGATTCTCTAAATCCTCAAAAAGAGAAGGAGAAATCTAGAGTTATGAACTTAAGTATTCAGTAGCATTTTAACTTGAGTTTCAGTATGTCAAACTCTGGAGAACACACTGCAGATGCATTTTTTTATATTGATGTTTAAGGAAAAGTTCGTGTGGGGGGTCCTAAATCAGAATAATGAGGTGCTATATGTTTAAGACTACTTGGCAACATTTGTGATTTTAAGATTGCTTTATGTCACACCGAAAACTGTATATTGAAGCTGGGACATAAAGCCTCATCTACTCAAGTTTTTCTCATTAGCCACACACAGTTCTAACTCAGACTCGCCCCTTTTGCATCAGGGAGGATTTCCTACTATGAGCTCCACAAGCCTGTGGTTATTCCTCACTTAGCACCCACTCTTGAATTCAAGAAGAAAACTTCCCTGGGAACTCTTACCTTCATAGTTCTCATGTGCCCATGGTGTGCAGAGCTTCCTGGATTGTAAGTACAGTATACTCTCGGTGCTCAGTTCTTACCGTAAAACTTTCACAAATTGGAAAGTGCCATGCATTTTTAAAAAATTCTGTTGGAAAGTTTACACTCACAATTCTATGAGAATTTTAAAAATCTGTTCACCTTACTCATCCCGTTTTACCTCTAAAGCCAACCTCCACTTTGACTATGGAACATGTAGTGTTTTCACTTTCTTGTCCATTTAATCGGATATTATATGCAAAAAGTGTGTATATGCATCAAGAATTTTAGCTTGAGTCATACTTCCTTATATTTATTTATCTGTGTGTTGGTAGAGAATTATGTCATCTGCCACCATTCTTGACTGAATGTCAGAGACTCGTGCTAGAGTTGGTTTTCTCCTCCCATTATGTGAGTCTGGGGAATGAAGTCAGGTCAGCAAACTTGACATCTAGCACTTTTAACTACAGAGCCATCTTGCTGGTCCCTGACTCACATTTTGATCATTATAAATGTCAAGGAATCTTATACCTTCATTTTTAAAAATTTCTATATCATAGACATCTTTCCGGTTGAAATATTTGACCTATACATCATTCCAAACAGTCTATGAACTTGTTAAACATTTACTTTATCTTGAAAACTGCAAAAGTGAACATACATTTTTATGTATCTTTAAGTTTATCTATATCTTATAGATATGATCCTAAAAGTGCTACTGTGAGTTGAAGATCACTCAAATTTGCTTATTTATAGTGATAAATGGTCTCTAAAGACGTACCAATCCCTACTGTGAATAATCACAAGTACACCTATTTCTCTCATTTCCTGCCAGAAATGTATAATTAAGTGATATTACAACCATTTTGTTTTTCATTTGGTCAAAATGAAGAATGAATAGTATTTCAACTCAAT